ATATCAAATAGAAGAGAGAGATTTACCTAACTTGAAGCCACTTCAGATCCTACACTTCCTTGAAAAAATAGTATTGAAAGGGTCGCTATAGGCATTGATACATTTCCTTAGTGCAGTGGCGACAGAAGAGGGCACAATAGATCTTTAAGGTCGCAGTGTATTAACACCCCATTCTCAACATAAGATAACATAACATAGGCAACGAGCCACCACTCCCATTAGGATCATACATTTTCCAAAAGTTTTCTTGGCATTGATTTATTGCAAGTAAAAAAGTAAAAACAGCGAATGCAATAATGATAGCACATACAGGATGAGACCAAGTACCTTGCGGCATACCCGCTTTTATCTCTTTCAGGTCGGAGAATTTTTGTTCATGCTTGATTCTAAACAATCTGTCGGATATATATGATATATTAAAATGTCAATGTAACGTACTGGTAGCATTTTGTTTAGTTTGCACTTTATTCTATATGCTGTAAAATATGTTAAGAGAAGAACGAAACTCCTATTCACATACTATGCGACTGTCAGAACCTTAAATGGGAACGGGAACCGTACTTCGGGATACAATATCCGGAACCTGAAGAAATCGTAAAAGCCATCAGCCATATTCTTGAATTCATCAAAAAAATTAATCTGATAAGGTAGAAACTGTGAGGGGTACAATAAACTCAGAGCTTCAGTACGAATGAGCTTTAAACCATGCCCTAATTCAGACAGATAGATAGAGAGGCAGTTATCAAATCAAATCTGTATGTTTTCTTTAGGTTTATTTTGCTTTTTGTTTTGCCTTCCAGAATCGACAGACTCACCAAAACCTTCTTTAGGAATTTGACCAACTTCTGTCTCGTCGGTAATAAAAGCCACCCGATTTAGTTCTTGTATTTCCTTAAAACTATTTAAGTCGTACGTTCTTGCACTTATCTTTACCACTTTTAAAAATAATAAACAATAATTATTTTTACAAATAGACTAGGATTTCAATTGACTAACAAAAATAATCGCATATTGAGCAGTGTAAATAAAAATTCAGTAAAAGCTAAAACTTACATTTTCCTAGCAAATGCTTAGTTTGCAGTGAATAAAAATAAGTAGTAGCTTTTACTAACAAGTATTAAAAATTATTATTATTAAAAAAACCGACTTCAAAAACATGCCAAATTTATATAGGACCACCCCTGAGGTACCCCCTTACTAACAAAAATCTGATGTGTCCAACACATGACTTTCCTATCTAGTTATTATAGGCTTTTTCCGGTTATTTTGTACAACCTATTGCAGCATCTCTATAAATGTTTAGAGGATAAACTAAATATATACATTGTCCACATACATCTACCTCGAAACATTTTTCTATAGATATTCATGGAAAACAAAAATACTGAAAAATTAAAATTTCCTACAATTTTTTCATTACGGTCCATTTTAGAAAAATCATGTATAAACAAAAATTATAGAGATCGATATCGCAAACAACTTTTATTTCAAAAACTTTCATAAAAATCAGAATTTTGCATATTTTGTCAAATTTCTCGAATACGGACCATTTCAGGAAATTTTTACATAAAACGAAAATTATAGATAATAATATAAGAAGTAACTTTTATTTGATTAATTTTTTTCTCCAAACATTAATAACAGATATATTCCATAAAATATAAAAGTGGCCTCCCATAAAGTACCCCCCCAGATGTTCCGACTATGTCCAAATTCTAATCATTTCACGTCAGGCCGAAATAAAACTTAAGTTTAAAATTTAATGTTTTTTTTATCCGCTTTTGAGTTTTCTTCAAAATTCGCAATTTACACATTTTCTCAAATATCTCGAATACGGTTCATTTTAGAGAGATTATTTTTATAATAAAAATTATAGAGAATTATATTATAAACAACTTTTATTTAAACAATTTTTACAAATAAATATTTTTTTTACATTTTGTCAAATTTCTCGAATACGGACCATTTTAGGAAAATTTTGTATAGAACAAAAATTAGAGATAATAATATAAGAAGTAACTTTTATTTAAAGAATTTTCTTCGCCAAACGTAAATAACAGATATATTCCATAAAATATAAAAATGACCACCTATAAAGTACCCCCCGAAATGTGTCGACTCTGCCCAAAATCTAATCAGCTCATTGGACGCTGAAACAAAGCTTAAGTTTAAAATTTGTGTGTATCGGTTCATGAGTTATATACACACACACACACACACACACACACACACACACACACACACACACACACACACACACACACACACACACACACACACACACACACACACACACACACACACACACACACACACACACACACACACACACACACACACACACACACACACACACACACACACACACACACACACACACACACACACACACACACACACACACACACACACACACACACACACACACACACACACACACACACACACACACACACACACACACACACACACACACACACACACACACACACACACACACACACACACACACACACACACACACACACACACACACACACACACACACACACACACACACACACACACACACACACACACACACACACACACACACACACACACACACACACACACACACACACACACACACACACACACACACACACACACACACACACACACACACACACACACACACACACACACACACACACACACACACACACACACACACACACACACACACACACACACACACACACACACACACACACACACACACACACACACACACACACACACACACACACACACACACACACACACACACACACACACACACACACACACACACACACACACACACACACACACACACACACACACACACACACACACACACACACACACACACACACACACACACACACACACACACACACACACACACACACACACACAGAGAGACATCATCGCGAAAATAGTCAAAACGGATTCAGGGGACCTCAAAACGTAAAAATCCGTCGAAAACTCGAGGTCGAAAAAAATCATGATTCCTATACTTTCCTTATATCTGTATACAGATAGGAAAGTAAAAAAAGAATCATTGAAATCGGACGGCGTGTTAAAGAATTATCCCTGAACATACATATATAAAAAAAATTCGCGACGAATTGAGAACTTCCTCCTTTTTTGAAGTCGGTTAAAAATACAATTAGCAAAAGCTTAAGTTTTTAGCATTGCCTAAAAATGGTGTGAATAAAATGAAGCAATTATTAAGAATATTAAGGAAAAGCTTAAATTTTTGCAAGCTTGTTAGACCCTGGCATAAACAAAAGAAAATCGTGCCGAAGAATACCACAGTCTGTATAGATTAAATGAAGAAAATGTTGAGTGGATAGCTAACCATTTTTTGGAGCCAAAAGTGGAGACTAGAGGTGGTGCATTTAGTCCAAAAAAACAAATGCAAATATTTTTGCGATTTCTAAGTGATCCTGGATTTCAAATAGAGATCGGAAAAGAAGACGAAGTTCATAGAACGACAATATGTAAAACGATATCTCACGTTTTACCAAAAATAGTTGAAAAGGCAGGAATTTGGATTAAATTTCCTACAGAAAACTCGACTGAGCAGGCAATCAACGAATGGGCACAGTTGTATAGATTTCCCTGTGCTTTTGGTGCAATTGATTGTACTCATGTACCAATATTAAAGCCATCGCTACATGGTGACGAGTATATCAATAGAAAAGGCTGGTGTAGTATAAATTGACGGAAAATAAATTTTTACATCCGTAGATGCTCAATGGCCTGGCTCGGTGCACGACAGTCGTATTTTAAGAAGATCAAATACTTTTGGTATGATGAGAAGACGTCAACAGAACTATGGACTTATTTTAGGCGATGAATGGTACGCCATAACACCATGGCTATTAACGCCGTATAGAAACCCCACCACACTTTAAGAAATAGCGTATAATAATTTACATAAAAGAGAGCGCGTTATTACAGAACGCTGTTTCGAAAAACTAAAACGTCGATTCCCTGTTTTGCAACATCAGTTACGATTGAACGTTGACAAAATTCCGTCAGTATTTGTCAGCGCTGTGGGTCTGCATAATGTTGCTAAGTATTTAAATGACCAATTACCAAATGACGAAGAAGAAGTAACCGCCGAGGATTACGTGAAGAAGCTGTGGAAGATAATGATGAGCTGAATAACGACCGTTAGCGTGGTCAACAGAGACGAGAAGAAATAACAAATATAATTTTTCAATTGCAGTTGTAAATATACTACTAAGTACTGTAGGAGTTTTGTCGTTGTCTAGGGGTTTTGGGGTGCAAAAGGTCAAGTGTTCAATAGGAAAAGAACTATTTTATTTATAAATTAAATAAGGATATTTGAAATATATTACAAACTAAAATTAATGGATTTTTTTACACTCTACAGTACGATACCATATAATATCAAAAGACAACATGAATATTAATACGTAATAAGTAAAATAAACAAGATACTTGAAGGAGGATTTTTCGACAATAACAATTTAAATGTAAGTAGATACCTAAATCTGAGTTAAGTTCATTAATTTATTAAAAAAAAAACGTTAACAACGAAAACAATTTATTCATTTACTTACAACTTTCTGAACAACAAATTATTTATTTCTTTAAATTGGTTTCCATTTTCTTTTTGTATTTTTTCTAACAATAATTTTTCATTTTCCTTTTGAACCCTTATTAGTTCCAGCTGTTCTAACAATACCAGTCGTTGGACCTCTGTATTGGATAAATTTGAGGTTTCGTCTGTTTCCTTAAATTTGGTTCTTCTGGTAACTGGAGACTTATCAGGTAAAGGCCGAACATGAGGTGGAGGTGGAATAAATTCTTCAGTTTTGGACGTTGATGGCTGAGGTTGTTTTAATCCTATCGACATTGCTCCTGAAATAATTTGTTGGATCAAATAGCAGCAAAACAGTAATTTATACTATTCGGCAAAAAAATACTTAATTTTGCTTTTACATCTTCATAACATTTATTTTCTTATTTCCCGTTCCAGTTTTGTCCGTCTTTTTCTTCAACTCGGTCTTCATATTTTGGATTTTCCTTTTTAGTTGTTTCTCAGTTAAATCCCTTCCTATTTGCAAAATATATTTTTGATGGATTTCTTTATATGCTTGTTCTTTTTTCTCTTTTATTTTAGGAACTTGTGATTTATTAAATATAATATTATAGCTTTCCAAAATTTCCATTAATTTCAGGTTGGACGAAATTTTTGCAGGAACTTCCTCCGTCAAAAAATCACTTGTGGAATTTTCTGAAGCACTACTCATTCTGAACGTAAACCGTTAGCACTCGTTGATACTGGTTTAAATAGTTTTCATGTGCTCGATATTTGCCTTTGTCGATTTACACATCGGCAGTTAAAATTTATCCATACAAATACAGTCTATCGACGGGTCTGAGCCTGCAGTTCCACAGAATTTCACTGCCGACTGATTAGTCACAAAAATATAAATATAGGCCTTATCAGTATAAAAACATTTTTTCCGCAAACGTCAAAAAAAGTAGACATTATTAACGTCAATTCATGATGTTGAAGTATGATTTCACAGACGCCACTTTTTTTTACGGCCGTGAGCGGACAAAAAAGTACTTTTTTGTACGCTGACGGCCGAACAAAAAAGTAGAATTTTTAACAGGGAAAATAATTATTAGTTGAACTTTTAAACTTTATTAACGATAATAATTATTAATAGTAAAATTACAGTTATTTAAGGTTGCACCGCACATATTTAGTGCACTACCTGATTTATTAACTTCCAATTCAAGCGAATTTTGTGCAGAGTTGAAATAGTTCATCGACAAAATTTCCCGTGACTCCTTACTTGTTGTTGCTTCTGTTACATCAACGTCGACATAATTTCGCTAATGAGAAGCTGAATTCAGGTACAGTGAAGAAGAATTCGACATCAAGATTTTTTCTGCAGTTTGTTTTTTATTAGACAAAGAGTCTTCAATGTATCCTTCAGCGACAGTGCTCGACCTCCAACCTCCATGCCGTTTCAAACAAGTAATATCAGCTCCTCCATCCACAAGCAAAGTAGCTGAAGTTCTTCTTAACACATGGCCGGTGTAATCTTTTGAATTCGGTAGTTTTAAATAAGTTGCTACTGTTTTGGGTACGTTACTAATTGTATGAATTCCCATGACCATGCGATAACATTTTCCCTTTTGAAATTTCAAAAAAAAGGGTCGGCTTTCCATAGCTTGTGGACGTAAAGAAGTATATTTTCTGTAAAGATTTATATATTTTTCTCCAATAATTGTGAACGATCGTGGCTTTTTAGATTTACTATCAGGAATCTTTATATGAATAACAGATCCTAAATCTTTTATATCGTCTATTGTCATGTTCACCATTTCATCGCATCTACATGCTCCAGATACGCCCATTATTAGAACAACCTAAAAGTAGTATGTATTTAAAAACTTGATTGTATTTATGCAGGTTAGAATATTATAACTAACCTTAATTCCTACATATTGCTCATTAGGTGCATTATTTAAAAAATCTTCAAACTGGTCTTTTGTGAATACCTTTGACTTTTTGGGAGTATACCCTTCATTCTGCTTCTTCAGATAAGCACGTAGTTTCATATATTTGCTAATATCTAATCCATGTTTAATATTCAGTAATGATTTTATCATGGAATACTGAGACCACATTGTTGAACTCTTCATTTTTAATTTAGTTGTCATGTCAAAAAATAAGCTAGTAGCACATTTTCCGAATAGTTTGAAATGTTTTTATCATTGCACCATGTGAGAAATCTTTCGTAAGCATGATTATAAACTCTACTTGACTTAGTTGGAATTAAATCATTCGTAGCTGCCTTAGCAATGTCAACAACGTCGGGCGGTGTACAGTTGGGTTCTAAATCCGACATAATATAATCTAAAAGAAAATTTCAGTACACTTTACTACAACAAACGAAATTTTGATGCTCAAGTACTTACCAAAAATGCACAGTCCAATTGTTGCTTTAAATCACTTACAATATTTCTGACATTATAAAATATTATTGAACTGTCAACTTTGTTTTTGACTTGGCAATCACAAAACCAGTAACCACGGAAATGTAGTGCGCAGTTTTATAATTATTATTCTCTGAATTTATCAACTTCGTTGCAATCGTTTTGAATTTTTATTTAAATATTAATTAGTTCTATAGTCTGGATGCCGTTTGCGGAAAAAATAGCATGTTTCATTCGGAGCAAAAGCACTTTTTGTGGCTCGTCTGAAATTGTCGGCCTCACTAACGTTCGGCCATCAAACATTCAGACTCGCCACAAAAAGTTATACTTTTACTCCTAATAAAACAATATACTATTTTTTTGGATGATTTACTAAATAAGAACTTTAAGTAAATACTTAAAATATCTAGCTTTTGCTAGTAAGTAAAAGCAAAAGGTTATTCACTTTAATTTCAGCAAATGCTATTACCAAAAGCTAAATCTACCTAGTAAAAGCTAAAGCTTATATTTCATACTAAAGGCGAAAGCTAAGTTGTTATTTATTCGGCCCATTATCAAGCTGGAAAATAGACATATAAGACCGCTCGGGATATTTTATTAACGTAACAAAACACCTAGCAAAGGACTCACACTGTAATTATGGGAAACTGGTTGAAAGATGTTACCAGAGGCTTACTGAAAATCCTACAATTTAAAATTTACACGTTTTTGAGAAATCCGCATAAAATATATTGATGTATTTAGCAGGTAAATATGCGACTAATGGAGGGCTAAGGCTCTTTTAGATCAACGGAATCCACGACGAAAAATATTATAGCAATACAGTAAGTATTCTAAGCAGTAAAACTCGTGTTAACATTTAGGTTTGTTACGTGTAAACAGTATTCAGAGGCATGAATATTTGCAGTCGCGGAATTTTGGCGTTGGTCTTTAAATCTGCGAATTGAGTTTACAATATAGAAAAACATTTTTCTTATTAGAGCTGGTTTATATCAATAATTTAATAGGTAAATAAATGTATAAACTTATTGGATAACTTTTTAGAAAATCTGTTTGGGGGAAATCCTCAAAATGTAATCAGCATCGTGGCTTTTTAGTACATTAAATGTTGCCAATATAAGGCTAGCCGATAATTATCTAGTTAGATGGACTAATCAATGGATAATTAGGTTCAATAAACTTAAATCTACTCATGTGAACTTCACTAATAAAAAAAATGACAAGCTATCTCTCTAAAAAATATCAACGGAATGAGCTGAATGGAAAAAGCCTTGGCGTGACCTATGATACCAAAAGTTATAAGGTAAAAAGAAAATACCTCTATTAGGATTAGTTTTTTTTTTTTATTAGATTAGAGAGTTATTGCAAGTTCACTTAAGGTCAGTCACTATTATTGCCGCTCTTATTTTGATATCTGAGCATGCGCAGATCACTAACTTTAATAAAAGTTGTTACTAGTCATTACTGACTAACCTACAATTTTAATCTAAAAACCTTATAAGTTATTGTGATACCCTGGACCTTAAAAGGTTAATACTTTTTTTTAACTTAATTTTGGGCTACATTACCACTGAAATTGACTCTGGTGTATCTGTCTACACTGTTTTTGGGTTATCATTTATAAGGGGTTGCTAATTATCAGAGTTCAGTACAACGAAAGAGTTTGATCCTTATTCTGCAACAAAGGATCTGGCGCGATATAAATCCCACACCGCCGAAGGGCTAGTCGGTGTAACTGTTACCAGGATTGCCTCCGATAATTGGTAATTGCTCTCTTTGGGGTTAAGTAGTATAATATTCTTGAGGTTCATAACTTTATTTAAAAGAAAACGGTAACAATTGTAGCATTCGTTTTCCTTATACCAGGGGCGACATAAACTTCCGTAATTTTTTTAACTTCTGTATCATTAAATCGTTGTATATTAATAATTTACTAGTGAAAAAGTTTATTTTTCTGCAGATAGAAGGCCTTGAAAATTCCGTTTTAATTATTTTTAGTTTAATTAATATTCTACCGTTTTCTATCATTAATTTTAATTATTGAGAAATTTATTTTCTGTATACAGAGAGCGTCGTAAAGGACCCCGCAGGTTTCTTATGCGCCAACCCCTAAAAATGAACAATTTGTCTACTTGGGGGCGTTAAAATCACCCATTTTTAAAAATAGACGATTTATTTTGAAAGCCTGGAAAAATATATTTGCAAGTTTTATTTTGGGTTATGCTATCTAGTATTGTACTTCTTATTTTAAAAAAATCTAACCGCCCCCCACTATCCCCCAACCCCAGTTTTCAAAATATTATCTTGGGTATTTTAAAATGCATTGCCAAATGTTTTAATAAGTTTAAATTAAGGTAACCGCGCTTTTTAAAATTATCACCCCAACTTACGGGGGGGGGGGGGGGAGGCCATAACAAAAAATATTGGTGGATTTGGCTGAATTTTTAGTATGATGTAGTCTATGTTGTTTTGAATAGAAATTAATTGGGTCACAAATTCCAAAAATAAACAGTTTTGGTGCTAGGAGGCTCTAAAATCACCGTTGCTTCAAAAAAGACCACCTATTTTGAAAGCCTGGGAAAATGTATTTACATATTTTATTTTAGGTTATGCTATGTAGTATTGTGCTTTTTATTTTAAAAATATCTAACCGTTCTCCACTACCCCCCGACCTCCCCCTGCCCCAATTTTTAAAATATTCGTTTGGGTACTTTTAAATAAAAATAAATTGGTTGACAAACTCTAAAAATAAACAGTTTATTTATTTCTTATAAAACTAATTCTATACTCCCTCATATTCCCCCCTTCGCCTGTTTAAAAAAAGCAAAAAATGGATATAAGCTGTATAAGCTTAATTAGAAAAATCTATATTTTAATTATCATCCAATCGTTGAGGAAGGGACACAACAAAAAATAATTAGATATTCTGCTACAGAACATAACAGCCCCACTTTTATTTTAAATATCTCATTCAATTGCAATTGTATTTTCAGGGTAAAATTATCCAAAATTTATTTGTTCTCTGGTAAACATTGAGAACGTACGTTTACCAAATATTTCAATTAAATCAAATGCAACTATCAACAATCTTTTTTAGTATGATAGTAGTAGGCGAATGTGGACAATATTTTTGACATTAATTGTCAAACTTATACATTGGCTTTCTGACATTAGTAATAATTGTTGTGCTTTGTTGTCCTTTTTTGTGTTGTGTTATTGTACGATATATTGTGTTTTTGTATATTGTTTTTGTATATTTGTTTACTTATTGATATTATTATAATGGCTTACCAAA